CAAACCTACACCCTTTTAAGTAGAAAAGTCCTATAAAAATCCCTGTGGGGTGCTCCTGTTGATATGCAAAAATGTTATATGCGAGCTATTCTTGACAAGGAGCTTACTGTATATTCTTTTCCTCCTTCATTTTGTCCACCAATATCTGCAGGACCCTGTTAATGTCTGCGGAAGCCGCTACCGTAAGTGGCGCTGTCTCCTTCTCAGATAAAGCAGATCCCTGCGAACATTCTGTGTTTTCCGGTGAGGTCCCGGGCTCTCTCCCACCCAGAAGATTCACCAATTCTTTAAAAGTGTCACAGAGTTGTTGTTTGCGGTTCACGCACTCCTTAATGAAATCCAGTGCCCGAAAGAGGACCTTAAGCAGAGAAAACGTGAGGACATAGAACTTGCCCGAAGAGGTGAGGAAAAGAATAGAAACAGTTCTCAAGGATCACTTTCAGCTGTTTGCTAACTTATTGCGGGAAGATACTGCGCTGGCTCTTCACTGGAAGTAATTTCGAACCATAAAGAATTGGTCCAATGGGAGTGAAGTTGACTGATCAGAGCGGAATACGAACGTTCAGATTTGTCCTGCCTAGAGCGTCCGTCGGCAACCGCATAATGACTAATGATTAAAAATGGAGATGTTCTACTGATGATGACCTATAACTACTCTTCCCATATCATCGTTAGTATTTCTGGTGATAGCAACATGAACAGTGACCAAACTGTTAACATATTTAGCTGAAGGATTAACAGGGCTTTGACTGAACCTCGGCTTTTCCTTATCCGAAACCACTGCATGTCTGAGTGATAGTACCTCTTAGGTTCGGAATGGCTCTTTAGACCTATAAAGTCTTTTAAATTAAAAAGTTCCGTTTTACCGAAAAAATATTACTATGTAGTGGTCCTACAGCGCCTTCCTCCTCCCGCGTCACGCCACACGTGAGGTCACTTGATGGCATCCTCTGTCACCCGTGGGAAAGCGATTTATAGGTGCCGTAAACTGCGCCAACGCTCAACATTTCGGGGTGACTAATAATTGTGGACACATCAATGCCTTGAAAGGCCAATCACCTTTCGAGGCTGGCTAACACAAAGACCGCTCTAGAAGCTTATGACGATTCCCGCGCTGACACACTACGGATTCGGTTCCCTCACGGCCGGACGTGCACTAGTCTGACAGGTAACTTCCTTCTTCCTATTCTCCACTTCTCCTGCACATAATAAACCATTCCTTCCACCTGGCGTCTCACTTCTTCTCTCTGACCAGGAACCGGTCCTAAATATCGCAGCTGCAAGGGTTTTACCTATTAACTGAACCCCCTGCGATAAGTATTCCCGTAAAAAGTGTTAACCCACACATTTATACTGATGATCGGCGAGTAGAGTCCCCGTTTTAGAAAGCTGATGATAACAAAAACCGGATTTAACGTTAGCCTGCCCATGCCATACCAACGAATACTCCTCAAGTAGAGATGGGTCTCTGTGTAGCTGCTGCTCTTCGCGTAGAATCGGCTCCACTACGGGCTCTGGTTCCTTATCCGGTGCCAATTCACTCAGGTTGTGCATTCTTTTCAGAACTGCTGCACACTGCAGGGCAATTAGCTTGACTTCTTCAAGCAACACCTCGATTCCAAACGCCTGCTGACTGCTCTGCTCAAGATGCTGGTGGATGGAGGCCTGGATGGCTGGCGTATTTGCGTAGATACTGTCCACAGTGCAGGTCGAGAAGGCTGCCTCCACTGGGGGGCCGAGAGCTAGCAGAACCTGTCCGACATCAATCGTGAAGCAGGCCAGGATTCTTCGTTCGCACTGCAAAGGGAGGGAGGTAGGTGCATCACTGAATTTGTATGGATACACGGAACAATGTTGCGCAATAAGAACAATAATATTATCTGAAAGTTGATAACTTAGAATTCTAGGGGTAAACCGATTTTAATCAAGTTCTAGGGTTAGCATGAAGAACTATAGGCGGGAGCACATTACC